AACATGCTTTAATCCTTTCTTTAATATAAAGAAGCAGAATCCCCGCCAGTGCTTGTCTTTTGTGTACCTCACTGTCCCTCTGCTCCTTCCTTTCCACTTTCTCCTCCTCTCATACCCCCAACTCAGTCCCTGGTGCAGAGCCGCCCTGAGCTCACAGCTGGGAAGCAGGCCCAGGATGTCAAGCCCGAACCCATAAACATAATGGAGCTGGCATGGTCCCCTCCCCAGGGCTCCACACAGGGCAGTCACTCACTGTCACTAACAGGCCCACATCCCTAACTCCCCTCACTTAGGAGGAAAGAGCTCAGAGTGAAGGGACTTTTATTTTTCTCAGAGGGAGGAAGTTTGCCTTCCATATTTCTGCTACAATCCATCCTACCCTGCCCTAGGCTGACAGTCTGGAAGAGTGTGGGGCCAAATGGGTCTCTCCTTCATTCCGCAAACACAAACTAATTAACCAGAATAATCAATGTGCCGATAGAGAGCATGCAAGGCTGGCCAGCAGGGTGAGGTGGCATCTTGGAGAGCCATGGAGGCAGCCTCTGCTGTGCGGGGCAAGCTGGAGCCCAGCGCTTATTCTCCAGTCTCTCTCCTGGACCTCCTCTGACCCCGAGACTGCCCCCAAGTTCAAACAACAATGAGCAGTCAAGCTACTCTAGGGCAAGGCTGCCCTGATTTTCACAGCCTACTTGTTTCAATAGGACTGGGGAGGAAAGCAGGGGCCACCAGCCACGTGCAGGGATGGTGCTCTAGCCCAGGTCTGCCATGGAAGGTCGTAGACCTCACTGCTGTAAGACCACTACCCAAAGTGCCGCTGTCTTGCCTACCTTCCTCTACAAAGGATGGAAAGCCTCGTATTCACTTTCCCAGTCTCTTTCACATCCAGAGATGGCCAGGTGACCCAGGTCCCACTAGTGGCCCTCAAAAAAGAAGTTTTCAGGAAACTCCAGGCAAAGTTTGTCAGGCTGGATTAAAAAAAAAAAAAAGGGAGAGCTTTTCTATCTTTTTCTCTCTTGTTCGGATTGTGGCATAATGATGTGATGTTGGGAGCTGTGGCAGCTGTCTTGTGAGAATTAGGTGGTGAACTTGAGGACCATAGAAAATATATAAAGTATAAAAGAGCCTGAGTCATGGAGTTCTGATCCCAAATCTCAATTCCTACCTCCAGACTGCTTATTAAGGAAGGAAAATAAATGTCTGCTTGAATTATTTCTATGGGCAGAATGGTCCCCACCCTGAAAGATGTTCTAGTCTTAATCTTTGGAACCTGTGAATATATTGTTATATGGCAGTAGGGAATAAAGGTAGTAGATAAAATTAAGGTTGAGTTTAAAACCAGCTGACTTTAAAATAAGGAGATTAGGGGCCAGCAGATGGTGTGGTGGTGAAGGTGTTGGACTCCTACATGGCTGACTGTAGTTCGAGTCCCAGACCCAGCAGCTTGAAAATCACACAGAGTGCACAGCATGCATGGCCAAAATCCTAAGAGGAGAAGGGATTATGGCCGCTCCTAAGGGGGGGTGATTTCTCACTTTCCCTCCCTCTGTCTCTCTCCAGTGAGTGAATGCACCCCATGGTAAAAGTCTAAAAAAACAGCAGATAATAAAAATACCCATCCAACAGGCCTATTATAAGGAATAAATGAGATGACAAACATTAAGCATTTAGCACAGTACTTGGTAAAGCACGCACTTAATAAACATCAGCTGTTGGTGGTGTTGGTATTCACCAGAATAAACACATTGAAAAGGTGTTACTTTCACCATTTTGCTATTGTGGGAGTTGATTTTTGAACAGGTCCATTAACTTCCTTTAGATTACAGAGTTTTGGAGGGCATAGTTAGACTTAGGACCTAAACCAATCTGGAAAATCAAAAGTATAAATACATGCCAAGTACCTTGACCAATGCCTGGCACTTCATAGGCTCTCTCCGATAGTAACTCTTCCTGTTGTCACTTCTATACCCTAATTGGTGGCTATTCCTTTAATATTTATTGAGTGCCACCTGTGCATACGTGTCAAACCCTGTACTAAGCAGGAAAAATACAAAGATGGAGGTCAGAGACCCTGTGCTCAAGGTCTGGTCAACTCCTCAGCTGCTATTTCTCTGCATTAATGGTTATAACCTGTTAGGGCTCCTTTCACCCCCTGAAACGGACTTTCCCTTCCCACCTCCAGCCTTGCTCACTGCCACTTCCTCACCTCTCTCTCCCATTTCTTTTTTTTTTTTTTTTTGAGAAGTTTTTGCTATAGGGCGTATGCGCTCGCCAGACAGACAGAGAGAGACAGAGTCAGAAAGCGAGAAATCACCCCCCAGAAGGGATGGCCACGCCGCAATCCCTTCTCCTCCATTCTCCTCTCGGGATCTTGGGCATGCACGCACACGCGCCTGGCGTGAGTTTAAGCCACCGGGTCTGGGATGCGAACTGCGGTGGACTCCATGGGAATCCAGCGATATAGCCATTACGCTAACTGCTGGTCCCTCCTTCCCATTTCTGCCTTTGGAAATTCCCTTCACCCTTCAAAGACCAAGTCATATCCCCACTGAATCCCAGAGGTGTCTCAGACAACCTTATCAATGCTCCTTTGATCAACTTGGGGTGTTGACCACCAGTGGTGACCACCTTAATAGCTGGCAGCCAGCTGTCATGGGCTCTGACTGTCAGAAGGAACCCAGTTCTTAGTAATTGTAAGGCTTTACCAGGTTCACCGGCTGAAGGCACCCCTTGGAGCCCACTCGGCAGCACCGGACACTCGCTGCCTGGAATGGGAGGTGCTTTTACAATTCCACATCTTTTATGCTTTCTCTGGAACTAGATCATAAACTTCTTTTTCTCACAGCACCAGACCTATTGCCTTTATTTATTTACTAGGAATATTTTTAGATGCAAAGAACAAAAAAGGCAATGATCAGTGTTTCAGATAAACAGGGGGTTATTTTCACCCAAAACAAGGAGTCTGGGAGTAGGTGACTGTTGGAGATCTTTTTTAATACAACGTCAGGATCAGCATTCTTGTGTGTCTCTTGGCTTTCCCCCCCTGTTCCAAAGCAGCTGCCAGAGCTCCAGACAAAGGTGCAGTGTCACCAGCTGTAGCTTCAAGGGAGGTTGGTGTATGTACCAAATGTTAATATCCACCCCAAATTCATAGTCACTGAAATGACCACCTCCAAGGTGATGGTATTAGAAGGTGGGGCCTTTGGGAGGTGATTAGGTCATGAGGGTGGAAGCCTCATGCACCAGGTGAGTGCCTGTATTAAGGAGGCCTCAGAGAGATCCCTTAGCCCTTCTGCCATGTGCGGTACAGCACAAAGGCAGGTATCTAAAAAGCAGGTCCTCAGCGACACTGATTCTACAGGAGTGCTGGTTTTGGACTTCCCAGCCTCAAGACTGTGAGAAATGAATTTCTGTGCTTGTAAGCCAGGAAGTCCATGGTACTTCAGGATGACAACTTGAACAGAACAAGACAGTTGGGAATAGAAGAGTCACATCTTTTAGCCTCTGAGGCAGGCTAGGAACGTGGGGGCTGGAAATGGGCGCTGTGTTAAGTAGCAGCCACAGCGTCTGCTGCACAAACCTAGCTGGCGATCAATGAAGCAGTGGGTGACAAACTCAGCCAGTCAAAGAGAGGCTCTCTGCTGGGCAAGTCTGGGGTAGAAAGGGACCCAGGGAGCTGGATTTTAGAGCCCCGTGTGGCTGTTGGAAGTTTGCTCCCAGCATGCCCTGGGTTCCTTCTTCCTTCCTTCCTCCCAGCTCCCTTGTCAGCCCCCCTTGGTTGGTGAAACCCCCAATCCAGCTATTCTCCATTGGAAGAGGTAGGCAGAGGTCTGTCCCTCCTTCGGTCCCTGCCCCCATCCTGTCCATACAAGATTGATAATGAAACCAATACTTTTCACCAGCGTAATTTTCATATTTAATGAGCGTGACTCAAAAACTATTACATTAATTAGTCAAATCCCACAAACCGTTAATGGTGCACGCGGTAATTAATATTGTATTCAATTAAAAAATGACCTGTTTCGGGGGCCGCTCCCAGGTTGGGAGCATGGGGTAGGGGGAACTGGGGCGTCCGCAGACACACTCAGCCCTGGCTGCCCATGGAGGTCCTCGGCTTGTGGATGCTCTTTCTTTTTCCCTCCTTTTCCCAGGGATTCTGGAGGGAGCGATCGCAGGAGATGGGGGGCTCCCGCCCAGCCACCCCAGGCCACGGCTCAACTCACTTCCCCTCTGTTGTACTGCTCCCCCTTCCTCTCTGCTCAGCCGACAGCCTACTTGCTGTGATTTATGGGAGGGCCTGGCACAGGGCTCACAGACTGGAAAATTTCCAGTTTACACAAGAATTCCCTGAAAAATGAGCTTGGTTAATTTATTTCTTTCATTAACGAGTTCGAACTGTGAGATAATCTCTCTGAGCGCCCCTCCCGCACCCACCCTGCATTGTTCATGCATCCTGACAGGCTGTGTCCCTCCCCCTGCTGCCCCTCCCCCTGCTGGGCTGGTAGGCAGGGCCCTTGGGCCTGAGGGACTGGCCTCGGTGGGTCTCTGCCTCATGATCCCATCTGCTGGGATGCAGTGGGGGCCTGCAGCCAATCAGGGATCCCCTTTTCTCCCAGCCTATTATGGATCAGGATGGAACTCTGGGCTCAGTCAATCAGGTCCCTTGGCTCCAAACTAGCTCAGCGTGCTTACAGAGATTATGAGATTATGATAGAAACGATTTGAAACCGGAAGGCCCAGCTCAAAACCAAGAAGGCAGCACGGTGTGTGAGTGGAGTGCTTGGGCTTTGAAGCAGGATCAGCTGCTTTGGAATCCTGACTCTACCACTAGCTGAGCAACTGTGGCCAAGTTACTTCACCTCTCTAATCCAGGGTTTTGAGATTAGGATGGGGATACAACATTGTTTCCTCATAGGACAGTTGAGAGTCAGACAACCTAGAAAAGCAAAGCCCACTATCTGGCGCATAGTAGGGATTACACGAGAAGCAGCGGTTATTACTGTGTTTCAGCAGCATTATTCGATGTAATGATGGTGCTTTGGAAACATCCGGCTTTGTGGTTGACATGTCAGACTAAGAGGACACCTGGCTCTGTCGATTTACTTGCTGTGGGAACTTGGGCAAATCGTACAACCTGCCTGAGCTGCAGGGTCTGCTTTTGCAAACTAGAGATTATAAGAAGCTCCTCAGAGGTGCTATAACAATTAAGAGAAAGAGTATGAAGACTCTCCCACATCGTGAGCCCTAAGGCCAAGTCTGTTATTATTATCTGCTAGACAGCTATTAGGACATCTAAACATTTGGGATTTACCATCATCGTCACTACCCTCTTAACTACTATTTCCGTGCTTCCTTTTCTATTCTAAAATGAAATTCATAATAATATAAAACTAGGTAAATAAATAATTAAAAAATACTATTTCAAATCCTAAGTGCAATATAAATAAGAAGTAAAATACAAGTGATTCATAAGAAAACAATCTGTATTCCAATCTCTATGATCAGGTGCAATGACACTAGAAGACACAAAAGGGGAGTTGGTTGGTAAAATCTAGGTGTGGTCTGTAGTCTAACCAATTGTATTGTTTCAGTCAATTTTCTGATCCTGATAATGAATTATAGTTATTTGTGTAAGATGCTTCCATGGGGGAAACTGAATGGTGGATACATGGTAACTTTCTGTACTGTTTTTGCAGTTCCTTGTGAGTCTAATTACTTTAAAATATGTTCAAAGAATTTTTTTAAAAAGGAGTTAGAAACTTGCACATCTGTAGAGACTCACTGTGAATTTGATAGCTCTGAGTGTAGACTGATACATACTGCCAAGTAAACCAGCTGCCGTGGTTGATAAATACATTTGTGATTTCGTTTTCTAAAATAGTGAACAGTTCTTGGCATGGTCCGGCAAGGCCCACAATAAAACAAAGTCCAGTTTCACCTTGATTTACATGAATTGACTTGCTGGGAAATTTGTTGGTATCCAAACTTTGCAAAAATTGCTTTGTGCTTTGGAGCCAGCAGGTGGCATGGTAATGAAGGCACTGGACTCCTACATGGCTGACCATGGTTCAAGTTCTGGGCCTGGCGGCTTGCTTTCTCACTCCCCCACCCCTTGGTTAAATTAAATAATAATAATAATAAGTTATTTTTTAAAATTGCTTTGTGTTTATATGTTAAAAAAGTGTTAGACCCAGACTCAGGTTTTTCATATACACCAGTGTCCAGTGGACATTTGAAATTCATGTGGGACATGAAACAGTCTTCGTTGTGTAGGAGTATCCTGTGCGTTTCCAGGTGCCAGCCTCTCTACACACAGCTGCTAAATGCCAGTGGGGAAACCCAGTCACTGAAATAGCCATTCCCACACCCTCCTTCATAGAGGGAAGAAGCTTCTACTGAGAGTAGTTATTATGAACAGGATTCTGGGCAACTTCCTCATTCTTAAAACTGGAGTAGATTTAACACTAATTGTCTCAAATTTGGACCTATAAGGACCAAAATGTCCATACAACTCCAGGAAATAGCTCTCATCCCCTTTCCCTGAATATCCTTCCTCAACTCTAGTCCTTCAACCTTGCCATGTTAGCGTCATCCTTATGAAGGAGGCTTCTGAAGCCGATGCCAGGAGCAGAATTCCTGAATATGGCTGCCATATCCTGAGAAGACTCATCCTCTCTGCTTGGTGCAGAGACAGATGATGCTTATCCACAATTGCCAAGACCTCCCCACCTCTGTGAAGCCCAACCCCATGTGTGAGATCTTGTACTCCGTGCTACTCTCCAACCACCTCTCTAGAAGTTGGAACGTGGGTAAGAGTTCCTGCCATCCTACTCCATGGACACTAATATACACCCTCAGAGAAGGAACTGCCAATTGGTCTTTACTTTTTCTTTCTAATCAAAGGAAGATCTGGAGCTGGGAAGGATTCTTGGCAAAGATGATATCTAACATTGCTGAACATTGAGTTTAGTCCAGTAAAACCCATGTGGGACTTTTAACTAAGACAGAACAAAAAATGCCTAGTAGCCGTGCAAACTTGAACAAGTCACTTAACTTCTCTAAGCCTGTATGTCCTAAACTGTGAGGATCACATAAATGAGTTAATATTAAAAAGCTCTATAAACTTTAAAATATTATATGTATATGACAAATTGCTATCACTATTATTTTTACTTGAACTAGTTTGATGATTTATTAAATATGCTAATGAATAAAGGACCTAAAATTATACTCTTCAACTCCTTTATCTAAACCAGAGGTTGGCAGACTATGGCCTATGAGAAAATCTGGCCCACAGCCCCTGGTTTTGTAAATAAAGTTTTATTGGAACAGCGCCATGTCCATTTGGTTACATGCAGTCTAGGGCTATTACAACTGTAATAAAATAGGGTGACGGAAAGTACCTGGCCTGCAGAACCTAAAATATTATCTGGCCCTTTACAGAGAAAGGTTACTGACCCCTGGTCTATGCAGTTACTGAAGGATCTGTCTACAAGGTGCAACCATGTTACCATCCATCTCTTCAATGGTAACCTGTTCAACATGGAAAATGGGCCTGGCTTTAGCCCATCAGCTAGTCTCACCCTTGTGCTCCAAACTGCATGCTTTAGAAAACTGAGCTTCTGAGAGCAGCAGATGGTGTGAAGATTATGTTGCTGGACTCCCACATAGTTGACAGTGGTTTGAGTCCCAGACTTGGTGGCTTAAAACTCATGTTTGGCACGTATGTGTGTATGCCCAAAATCCCAAGAGGAGAATAGAGGAGAAGGGATTGCAGTATGGTCATCCTCCCTAGGAGTGATTTCTCACTTTCTCTCTCTCCATCTCTCTAGGGAGCAAACACGCTATAGCAAAAATCTCTAAAAAAAGAAAAGTAAACCAAGTACCCTTTTTGTACTTTCTTTGCCAGTACCGTTTCCCACCCTAGTCCTTTGCCAGGATCCAAGGCTAGCTTGGGATGTAGTCTGAGGACTGAACTCCTTGTTCAGCTCCCTCTGGACCTCTTAGTCCCATCCCTGGAGCCTTCAGACCTTGAAACAGGGATGCGGCATGGATGTCCACTACCTCCAATTCGCCTAGAAAGGCCTGCAGGAGTGACTACCACTCAGGAGGCTGCAGCTCCATGCCTTTTACCCAGATGTAGCAACGAATAGCCATTATTACTATTTGTCACCACCTTTGGGCCCCACCCTCCAACTTTCATGGGGCCCTCAGATCTGCCATGAGGATTCAGAGGGAACAGGTCTTCTCTCCTCCCTCCCCACTGTCTACCAGTTGCTCTAATACTTTCTCTCCTCTCTGGGAGTTGGAGGAGTTTTTCCTAAGGCAGCTTAACACTATAATTTCAAGTGCTCTGTAATGACTTGTTAGCTACACAGACACTTAATAGAATTTCCTGAGAAAGAGGTTGCATCCACGGTAATTCTAAGACCTCCTACTGACTTGAGTGTAATCACTGCTAATAGACAAAGAGGTAATTACAGGGTGACCTGACTTCTGTTTTGGAAGCAAACAATCACGCATGCTTTGCTCTTGCAGGGATCTCAAGTGTTACTGTTGCACCTAGGTGTGCCTCCACCCTGCTGGAAAAGATGCAATGAGCTGATCAATCATAAGACCGCTGAATCTCTAGCTGGAAAGAGATATTGAGGTCGTAGAGTAGGCAGGCTGATGGTCCCCAAAGATGGCAATGTCTTGAACCCAAGGGTATGTTATGTTACATGGTAAGAGGGAATTCACGTTGCAGGTAGAATTAAGGTTTCAAGTTAGCTAACCTTGGAGGACCAGCAGTTAGCATAATGGCTATGTCGCTGGACTCCCACGTAGTTGACCGCGGTTCGAGTTCCGGACCTGGTGGCTTAAACTCATGCCGGGTGCGTGTGCATGCATGCCCAAGATCCCGAGAGGAGAATGGAGGAGAAGGGATTGCGGTGTGGCCATCCCCCTGGGGGGTGATTTCTCGCTTTCTGTCTCTCTGTCTCTCTCTGTCTGTCTGGCGAGTGCACGCATCCTATAGCAAAAATCTCTCCAAAAAAAAAAAAAGAAAGAAAGAAAGAAAAAGAAAAAAGTTAGCTACCCTTAAAGCAGGAAGATTATCCCAGGTTATCTGAGTGGGCCCAGTGTCATCACAGGGGTCCTTAATGTAGAGGAGACATGTAGGAGAGGAGGTCAGACTGATATGATGTGAAAAGAAGACCCTTCATTGCCAGATATGAAGGCAGAGGAAGTGGGCATGAGCCAAGGCTTTATGAAGCTGGAACAGGTAAGGACATGGAGTCTCTCCCAGGACTTCCAGAAAGGAGCACAGCCTTGCTGACATTGCTTTTAGTCCAGTAAAACTCACATGGTATTCTAACTTAGAGAACTGGTAGACACTAATTCTGTGTTGTTTTAAGCCACTGGTCATTTGGTACAGCAGCCACTGAGTACAAATGCAGGCTCCTCATCTGTTCCAGCCCTCACCTGATGCAGAATCCCTCTGTAACAAACCTGGTTTGTGATTGGTCATCCAGCCCCTACTTGGTAACAAGGAGCTCCCTTTGTAGAACAGTCTCTTACATTTATCACCCGTAGTTGTTGGAGAAGGCTTCTTCTGTGTGCTCAAAATCTAACTCCCATAACTTTCAGTCACTAGTTCTAGATCTTCCCTGGGAACACACACACACACACACACACACAGAGTAGGCAGGCTGATGGTCCCCAAAGATGGCAATGTCTTGAACCCAAGGGTATGTTATGTTACATGGTAAGAGGGAATTCACGTTGCAGGTAGAATTAAGGTTTCAAGTTAGCTAACCTTGGAGGACCAGCAGTTAGCATAATGGCTATGTCGCTGGACTCCCACGTAGTTGACCGCGGTTCGAGTTCCGGACCTGGTGGCTTAAACTCATGCCGGGTGCGTGTGCATGCATGCCCAAGATCCCGAGAGGAGAATGGAGGAGAAGGGATTGCGGTGTGGCCATCCCCCTGGGGGGTGATTTCTCGCTTTCTGTCTCTCTGTCTCTCTCTGTCTGTCTGGCGAGTGCACGCATCCTATAGCAAAAAATCTCCCAAAAAAAAAAAAAGAAAGAAAGAAAGAAAAAGAAAAAAGTTAGCTACCCTTAAAGCAGGAAGATTATCCCAGGTTATCTGAGTGGGCCCAGTGTCATCACAGGGGTCCTTAATGTAGAGGAGACATGTAGGAGAGGAGGTCAGACTGATATGATGTGAAAAGAAGACCCTTCATTGCCAGATATGAAGGCAGAGGAAGTGGGCATGAGCCAAGGCTTTATGAAGCTGGAACAGGTAAGGACATGGAGTCTCTCCCAGGACTTCCAGAAAGGAGCACAGCCTTGCTGACATTGCTTTTAGTCCAGTAAAACTCACATGGTATTCTAACTTAGAGAACTGGTAGACACTAATTCTGTGTTGTTTTAAGCCACTGGTCATTTGGTACAGCAGCCACTGAGTACAAATGCAGGCTCCTCATCTGTTCCAGCCCTCACCTGATGCAGAATCCCTCTGTAACAAACCTGGTTTGTGATTGGTCATCCAGCCCCTACTTGGTAACAAGGAGCTCCCTTTGTAGAACAGTCTCTTACATTTATCACCCGTAGTTGTTGGAGAAGGCTTCTTCTGTGTGCTCAAAATCTAACTCCCATAACTTTCAGTCACTAGTTCTAGATCTTCCCTGGGAACACACACACACACACACACACACTTGTCTTTCCCACAACAGTTCTTCACATATTTGAAGAGCACTCTCATGCCTTGCACAAAGTAAACCACCATAATAAATATTTGCTAATGGGCAAACAAACATTTAACTCCTGTAGGTCCCCTTGGACTGTGTAGTGATACAAAACTGACCTCTACTACTTTGCCCTCCCTCCCCAACACCTGCTCTCCCCTTTCTTCACTAGCAGCACTGAGTTCTCCTTGGGAAGTGCTGTCCCTTGCTCTCTGCTTGGCTTGCTGTCAAAGCATTGCATCCCTACCCACCTCCTGCCATAAAGCGAGAGCGAGAATGAGAGAGCATGTCCAGGAGCCCAGCTCACTATTCAGCAAGTTGATAAGACCCTGAGTGAGAGGGTAAACTGGGAAAAGATGGTGACTCCACATATCATTTTTAATTAGCTGTATTTTTATGGTTAACAAAACTACCCATAGTTTATTCCCATGGAGGTTCTAATCTTCTTAATATCTTTTGCTTGCCCTTAGAAGGTCCTGAGTTAAAAGCCACCTTCAGGGTGGGTATTTAAATCTACACTTGTGGGATTCAGACTGAAATTTCAAATAAACAAGGCCTGGGCAGTGTTTATCAAAATGTGACCAGTGGAATGTGCAAAACAAGAAACTAAACTACTAATTTAAAGAGAAGATCCCAAGAGTTGCCCTTTGGAAGAACACCTCTTTCTCATGGTTCTCCCCTCACAAGGGCAGAGAATTTGGTCTCATTGGTTCCAGTTGTTTGGGTATGAGGTATGTGCATCCCATATCTATCAGACACCCAAGCTGTGGAGAGGGGCCTAGACTGAGGAACCCTCCCTCCCATCTTCCAACTCCCCCTGTTCCTGGGCTCAGAACAGTGAAGACCTCATTGCCCCCATGGATCATCAGTCTCTGAGGGACAGGAGCGCTGTCCTCACTGGGAGGCCTGAGTGTTAGCAATTAGGCTTTGGAAGTTCTCCAGGGTTCTATGCCTTCTGAACTGGGGCCCTCTCTGAACTTTGACAAGAGGCCTAATCCAGGTGGCAACCACCCTCTCTTTCTGGGCTGGGCAAATGGGAAGTTGCCATCAGAGGCTTGTGCAGCATCTGTGGTGGGGCTACCCTGCTAGTCAGCAGTACTGCCCAGGCTCCTGCAATC